TCATCTTGACAGGACGTCGACGACCCTGGATACGAGACCGGCTCAACAACTGAGGTCGAAGAGGAATTGAATGTAGAGGTTACCTATGATGATGATGAAGATGATGAGCCCCGACGGACCGGGAGACGCGGTCATGGCACTAGTCGATCAAATCGCCAGAAGGACTCGAAGCTCTCCAAACGCGCAGCAGCAGAGCTTTATCCCGAAACGACGCAGCCCTACTGGGCCACACCCGGAAGCCTGCTTTATACCAAGTCAAGACTATGTCAAGACAGCGGATACGCCTTAGTTCAACCTGGGGATCCTGAGCGGACGTTCAAGGAGTTCAGCATGAACAAAAGACCCAATACTCAGCGTGGCGGGGACAATCCTCTACTGAACGAGTACTCCAGGGAGAAAGACCTGAACATCAGTCTTCTGGATCTCAATGACGGAGGGAAAAATGGGATTCATGGGGACATGTCTCGCCCACGTCCGGAGCCACCAATGATGATGGAGACTGTCCGGGCTGACGAAGAAGTCGACCAACCGATGGATGTAGATGACGCAGCTGGGGACGCAGATAATGAAGCAGACGCCGAGGCCAATGAAGTTATGCATCTGGGGGAAGCAAGGTATGTGGAAGACCTGATTCTCGGTGCTCAATGTTCAACTCTCCTTTAAATTGTAGGGAAGTAAATTCAGTCGAACAGCAGCCTACTGAAGTTTCAATGGACACGGCAAACTCCACCCAAGATCCCGAGCAAGAAGCCCACGATGCGTTCAATTCATTTGTTCAATACCCAGAGGATGACTCCCCGATGGGTACGAGCAACTCGGGAAGTATGGTACAGGAAGACACAGACGGTCGTAAACCATTGGAAGCTGCTGGTCTCGATACAAATGATGTATCCATTGGCCCTCAGTATCGGCACTTCCCATTCAACCACCCTGATGGTCATGGTGATGACTCTTTTGAGGATCTCGGGTGAGTCTTGGCTTCTTTGCCATTGTCGTGATCATTCAAATATTGATCTTTTAGGCCACTTCTCTATCCCGAAACAGAGCAACCAGAAAGTGGGGACGAGGCGAGCGCAGATGAAGAGAGCTTCAGTCCAAGAGCCGATTGATGAAACTGCACATGATGTTGGTGAGCGCGTCCAACTGTGGCATCCGGGCTCACCGTATGCTCATCGAGACCTACCCAATACTACCTAACGTGACATGTAGATTTCTTGATTTTGGGAGCACTGCAACTCTGCTGATAGTCAACGCGACATGGGAGTAGGAAGGAAATGTATGGTTACATGTACTGGATACAACAAAGGATACCCGATTGTGACATTACGAACCGCACGAATGACGTCTGATGGGCTCGAAAACGATTCTAAACACTTGATGAATACAATGACTCATCGCTGCACCGATGTGGAGTGGGTTCGGCGGTTCCGAGATAGCGCATTTGGACCTCTAAGGACCCACATGTCCTGGGTGAGGAATTGCGTGTATCTCAGAGGAAGAGGAGTAGACACCTAATGATGGATTTGGTGGGGCTCCCTGTATCGATAACCTCAAATACAAAACCCTCCGGCCCACGGCGATTACTTCGTTACTCATTCAGGCCATTCATGCACATGTATTGGATTTGCTTATATGTCCTCTCCTCTCGCTGATACAGCCCACTGCATTGTTTTTACCCGGCGTAATTCTTGCAGTTTGCCTGTAGATTGTGGCGCGACTGAGGTGTCAAGAACGACGAGGACCGTTGAGCGACGCAGCCCCGGATGGTCCAGTGAAGATCCGGTCCGTAAGTGACTTTTCTCAATTATACATTTGCCATTCTTCACACTCAGTGTTGAAAAGGGCCGAATCCGTGCTTTTCACGGCAATGCTGCGCTGATCCCCAATATAGTGTACAAAGTGCGTGTCTTAGTTCAACGGTGGGAGCGCGGCTGCCAGACTGGTTTCGCGTCGCTTTCGGAGCGCCAAGTTCAACTCCTCCACCACACGTCAAATAGTTTTATTGAAAAAACCTTTTGGGCGATCTAAAAGCTTGCAGTATTTCTAAGGTGCTGGTATACTACGTCTACACTTACCTTCCGTTGCACAACAATGTCTCATTAGTTCAGAGTTAGACTACCTTTGCTCGCAGCGCCGCCTTGCTGACAGGTGAATAATTTTATGGAACTCAGTAATAATCACATGAAACGGTGGCGGCCCAAGCACATAGAGATGACTCGGAGAGTTCCCAGATGGGAAAGTGGGCCCACGCGTCGTAGGGCACATCATCGTCTGATCCATCTCACTCCACTCTCCGAAGAGATTACTTACACCACCACCGCCTTAACATATGGTCTTTTCAGGTGGTGTATCTGAGGAGTTCGGGTGCATCTGAGGCCCATATGGTGCAAGTAAGGGTGGGTGGTGTAAGCGGTCGAGAGGGGGTGGACGGTGCAAGTGGTCAATCCCGCCACAAAAGGACCTGAGATTCCTGAACGTCTTGGTGTGAAGTGTGTTTGTGTATGCCTGTGTGAATGTGTTATCTGAGCCTGTGTGTCCAAGGTCCAGGTGCGTCAAGTCGTCATGGGCGAGAACAAAGTCGACGAAAGATTGTTGAGCATGATGTCCAGGTCGGCTTCGGATCGTGAGCGAGCGGAGACGAGGAAACGACTTGGTAAAGTGGAGTTCGGGGGTCGTATGATGAACGGCTAGATGGAGGGTATGTATGTTGTCGGCGGGATACGCAAGGATGGAATTTACCGTTCCTGCGGCTCGCTGGACCCGAGTTTCCTAACCCTGAGTCAGCATTGCCGCTTCTGGCAGGTCATCCCCTGCCCACAGAGGTGTTCAGACGCAGTAAAAGAGGTATCAAAGGCTGAGAAACAGTCTATTGTGAAGACTGCTTCCGCGGAGGCTCACGAAAGTCCCCAATACGAGCCTCAGAAGCGTGGGAATTAGGCAGACTCTACTTTGCCGAAGGTGATACTGTGGCCTTGTAGATGCCGAGAGAGCGGGGTATCATTCGGACTTGTATGAGACAGTGTCGCAAAACTGCCCGATGACCTAATAAGGCCTTTTTTACATAACTTTATCCAGATAAGGCCATAAATGCCGAAATTTGCTTATAAGGCCCTATATAAGGGGCATAAAAGGCCCAAATTAGTCGGATAATCCCCCATATATAGGGAATAAATGGCCAAATATGGCCGCTACCCTTATATGGCCGGCCAAAGTTTTCCGACAAGCGACAAGTCTGATAATCACTGAGCGCTTGTGAGCAGCGGGGATACCCAAGAGCTTTTTGTTCTATACTTAGCAAGATCCAAAATCCCAAGTTCCAAAGTGACAGGACTTACAACCAAATTCAAGGCGAGGACACTAAGTTGGGTAGATGGTGGTATCCTGCACAGTTTGACAACTTCTCATCCTCAAACACACATAGTCTCAGTGCCTTAGGTGGTTAATACACCTAGATTCGGCAGGGCTCCCGGCTATGCAGGTGCGGAAACCGCCGCCGGGAGCATTACCCGGCGGCTGACACAAAATGTTGAAATTCTCACGATTTTTGACCTTATATCTGGGCTCTTTGGGTGATTAGGCTGCTCTGAGGTTGCTTTCTGAACGGAAAGTCTCGTTTGCCATCGTTTTAGCATCTCTGTATGGCTCGGATGCAGGTTCCGAGACCTGCCGGAAGCGGCCATGCTGAGTCAGGTTACGGAACTCGGGTACAGTAAGTCATAGGAACGGCATTTTGAACCTTGCGTGTCTCGCCGACATCACACTACTCTCGCGATGCTGAACCAGATTCCCCATGTTTCTCAGCCCGCCTTCCTGGACGATCGGGCCTAAAGTAAGCTATAAGTCAGTGTGATCGATCCGCCTGAACCAGTCTGGAGAAGAAAAAACAAATAAAATCACCATTCGTCCCCTCCCATTTGATCACCTTCAATCCCTCCAGCCTCGCATAGAAGTCTGAGGAAACCCCAATCCCGGTATCCCCCTCAGCCCAAGTCGATGGATTCTGTACGGCCAGCTCTTCTAAGCCTTGAGGGATCTTCCCCCGAACGAGTTCACATAAGTGTCCGATAGCCTTCATGTCTGAATCAGCATACTCTTCCTCCCCGGCCACAAGACTGTTTGGTACGGATCCAAACACCCTTCCCCCAAGTTCCAGCGAACGAAGTCTAGTCATATTCTTCATCGCATCCAGATTGATTAGACTCGACTTCTTCCGCGGCCTCATGTAAACCTCCAGATCATCTGGCGAGACATCGAATCCAAGGGCAGGTAGTCCCTTCAATCCTTTCGATCCACACAGCGACAATTCGGTCACCTCCGTACGAGGAGAGAAAGAGTCGCATCAATGGAGTCTGGAGGGAGTTGTTGCCATAAGGATACTCGACGGTAGATGTTTGGACGAAGGATTGACAACAGCCGGGAATTGGTGTTGCACAGCTGTACGGCGTCATGCCTGGACAAGGATACGGCGATGCTGAGCCAGATTTCGGTGGGAAGATTGGGAGAACGGGACATGGAACGATGGTGGTTGGCGCTGAAGCACTGACGGTGGTTTCAATTAAAGTCCTGAGAATGATGCTGTAGCATGTCTTAACACATGACTGGGCAGAAGGTGCTAGTGAATATTGATATTAAGTGTCGGTGCCGGTGATGGCTCTGGCACAAGGACTATTGACTCTCTTGGCAGGGACTGTTACACCCATCTTAAATGATAATCACCATCTGGTCAACACATATCCCTCCTCAAGACCTTTCTCCTTATCCACACCAACAACTTTTGTCCGTATCCCACCCCACATAATGCATTCAAATCGCACCCACGATACCCTTCGCAATTTCGGATACATCTCACCAACATGAACGTCTCAACTCGCTCCCAGATCCGCCTGGTCGAAATCCTCAAGCTTCCGTCTCACTGCGAGTCTTCCGAGACCGATGAGCACGATGAGAAGCTCTCAGGCCCCGTGAAAAAATTGAACAAAGCGAGGCTATAAAAGCCAAAAGGGGCGGAACGGGACTCGAACCACGTAGCGCGTGAGGAAAAGGAGCAACACGCATGTTACCAATTACACCATCCACCCAACTGCATTAATGTAACATTTGCCACCATGAAACCCTCGCTTCGACGTGCGAAAATTCTGACGATTGTTGAAGCTAATCAGGATCATTCCTCGCGTATCTCACCCTCAAAGGGCACTGCGCCCCTTGCATCAACTCCCCTTCCAGCGTGGGCAACATCATCTGACCGCATATTTCTCTTCGAATTCGTGTACAGTCCGGAGTAAGCGAGAACTCAGAGTTGGCGACCAGCTCAACGACGAAGGCCTGGATCTCAAGTACGCTTGGAGATAGAACGAGGGATCAGATAATGAATGATCAGGGAAAGTAGAAGAACATACTCACGCAAATCTCCAGCCGGGACAAGGGCGAACACCGCCGGAAAAGGTCAAGCTTCGATCAGGCCAGGCCATGTCAAAGTTCAGCCTCATGATGAAAGTACGAAAACTCTCACAGGTTGGCGTAGATCCCGCCGGACGATGTATGAGTCTTCGTCTTAGATTCTTCCGTGTCAAGCCAACGTTGGGGCTTGAATATGTGGGCGTCGTCTCCGAAAACCGCTCTGCTCCTGCATGCCAAATATCAGTAAGAGTATGTAGTTCTTTCGCCTGAATTGAACTAACCTATGGTATCCGTGCACGGACAACAAGATCTTTTGCCCTTTCTCCACTGAAATCTCATTAATTACCTCACCGTTGTTCAAGGTGATGCTTGCACTGAGAGGAATACAATCCTCTTCCCTTGCCATCTTCGGAATATGAACAGCCGTCGTGTTGTATCGTAGCGACTCCTAGCCACGGATGAGTAGCAGAAATGAAACGCCAAGGACTGAAGCCCCACTTTCACAACCGCGTTCAGGTAGGGCATGCCGTCAAAATCCTCCGCGGTGAAGCCGTTGTGAGACCGTCCCTCGATGATGATTTGTCGTTCCCGTTCACGTATCTCCTCCCGAAGTCGTGTTTGAATATCTGGGTCCTTACTCAGCGACAGTAAGGTCCAGCTAAGTGTGGTGGCTGTCTCGATAACAGTATTCATGTCTCGACCACTAACAATGGTGAAGCAAACTCACCCGTGGCTTCATGCCCAGCGATGAACATAACTCTATATCGCCCTCGTAAGTGAGAAATCCGACAAGCAATAAGCGACTTACTGCATCTGAGATAACAATTCCTCATCAGTCAGCCTGTTCCACTCGTTCCCCGAAAGGTTTGATTTGACTAGTATCCGAGCGTCAGCCGTCGAAATATGGCTTCAGGATCGGAAGGTCCAAACATACCCAAAAGCGAAAGAACATCGTTCCCCCCGCCACCCCGCCGAAGCTCTTTCGTCTTTGCCTCAATCAACTCTCGTGCCACTTGTGTAGCTACGTCCCGCGCCGCACGTCCACGAGCTAATCGGGGATCTGGTGCGTTTTCTAATAGCCAGAGCGCCAATCGGCGAGGAAGCGCTGAGATTATACGTTCCGCGACGAAAGTAGAATCCGAGGGGGCGGAAAATATATCGGCGCTATGGGGGTTGTTAGACACAGAAGGAACGAGGTGAGAATCGAGCTTACAAGAAGTTCCTATAGGCAGTCGACAAGACGTTATCGTTGTCTTTCAAGGCCCCGAAATCGTAGTTAAAGCCGCCTGTAACGAGTGAGTTGTGAGCCTACTGCACATGTTCACATTCTAAATTTCTGCGTACCGTGTCCCAAGGCATCAAGAGTAGCAAGGGAGGTCCACGTGGGAATGTTGAGGACTTGCGAATCATCTTTGGAGCCGGAGAGTAGGTCTCTCCACTTGTTCACAAGCTGCCCGGATCAAGCCGTTCGTTGATCAGAAAAGAAGGAGCAAGCCCAGATAATGGCTCACAGAAGCTGCAGCCGCGCAAAACACAGGCACCAAAGCCCGACACTCCTGGCTACCAAATCCCGGATTGATCACTCTTTTTTGCCTCTTGTGATCTTCGCCTAGAAGATGGGAGGTTAGTAAGACCGAAGAATTAACCAAGCCATGTCGAACTTTGGTTACGCACCTTCTGCATACCCAAGCCCGGGACCTTCAATGACTCGATTAACAATCGCCCAACCTTCTCATATAGCCGAGAGATATCTCACCAGCTAAGACGAGGGAGATCCTACGCCGTTCTAGAGGGATACCCCATACATAACCTTGCTTGAAGATATGGTGGATTGCTTTGGGGTCCGATATGAGCAGACGGTCCTCCTGTTGTAAGCACCCGTCAGTATGTTCTACGTAGTCGGGGTAAACTGAACACCACGAACTCACGCCGAAGGGTGCTTTAAATCGGACTACCCCCCCATACTCTCGAACCCATTTCAAATCTGCCTATGTCCCACCGCTCAAACGTAAACAGATATGTCGCCAGGGTAAGGGAAGGGGGACTCAACGTACCTCCGCCGCTTGAGCAGTGAATATGTCCCTATAATTTCCTACGAGCGATGATCGTGAGTGATCGCGTGGGGCATGATTAGGTGCGAATGCTCACCTACAAGAAACGACGGACTTCTGGGACCCGGAATACTGGAAATAGAGAACCTTCGTGGTCGTCGGCACAGGAGGTAACAGATAGCGGCAGCGGACAAAAGATAGATGGCGGGAAGCATCACAATCATGGGGTCCTGGCGCTCGGAGAGAACGACCTTTATCAGCTAGCTGTAGGGCCATTCCACGAGCTGTGAGTATGGCCAGACCACCGGACGATGGGTGATTGCGGATTATGTCACAAGATGATGTGCTAGGTCATGAGATGGTGGGCGTTGGGGAGCAATGGGTACCTGGATGCAGAAACATAGAAGTATGATTGGTCGGTTGGACAAAAAATATTCAATCTGCCAGTGGCGTTGCGCCAGACTTGGTGTAATTTCGCAACCTTGGCAAAAGAGGGTTAGGCCGAAGGACTGGTGCGTATGGACGAATATGGGTCTAGTCCGTCTCCATACCAAAAGTTTGCAGACGACGTGAAAGGGACGACGAGTGTTCCTGGCCATTCCACGTAGTGCCAACAGATATGATATGGAGGCAGATCTGGCGACGCTTGGATCGCGGTCTTGCGGCAGCCATGCAAATTTGCTACTTGGAGCTTGTGGCATTTCCTCGGTTTTACTATATCCCCCATTTACGCGTGCTAACAAGAGAGCACTGATAAACATTGATCGTGTGTCGGCGCCCGCCGGCAGGTGAAAAACGTACTAAATAACAGTTTGAATCGGTGGATGAGATTGGACTAGATGGTTATCGATGACTAGTCGTTCGGAATATTACCAAAACTGAGTAGAAGAGAAAGATCAGCTTGAGGGAAGGTCTCGATCCGATATTCGCTTTTGTGGGTCTCGAGTCAAGTAGTTGGCATAGATGGGTAAGAGCGCGCCGCCTCATTTCAATATATCTGAGATTCCGGGCGAAGCAGAGGCAGTGGCCCTCGAGTGATTCGAGAGTCGGGAGCGAGCCATGGCCAAGATGTCTTGCTCGATGCAAGTTGCAGTGCAGCTGTATTTCCCACGCACCTAGCGGCGTAACGCCGAAGACCGTCGAGGACGCAAGGAGACCCGAGGAAGGCAATAACCATTGAAGGGACCCGAGTGATGAAACAAACACAGGTTGGCACAGATCTATTCTTACAGAAATACGAAGCTGGGAGAGGTTAGATAATACAGGACAGAGTGAGCTATTAGTACAATTGTAACGATACAGTAAAAGGATCATCGACTACGAAGATTGCATACAGGCCATGAGTAAGTGAAAGTTGCTATCGATACACAGAGGTTGATGCCGAAGGAAAGCAAGACGAAAAAGAGCAAAAGAGTAAATAAATATAGCATGTTACCGGTCATCCTAGCTCTGAAACCAAATCAATCACATCCCGCCGTTCACAAGCCCCCATTCTTGCTCCACCACCTTAGTATGGTCGGCTGCGAAGGAAGAAACAACCATAATTAGCAAAGCATCATGAACTCGCAATCTTGAACTCACCAGCCAACGGAACATACACGCTCAACGCCCGCATCGCACCCAAAAGCACCTCCAGCTCTCT